TCATTATATACCCTCTGAATGATCCTCTCTTTCCTATGATCTCTTATAAGCAAGCCTATTTGCAATAATCTCTTGTTTCTCTGCACATAAGATGAGGGATAAACATTTTGAAGAAATAAAGAGATGATCTTTTCAAGAAAGAGGTGTTCGAAGGGATCGATAAAAAATGGTGCGATCTCTTTAAGTTTTTTCTTCTAATAGGAAACATGTATATGGTTAACAAATAATTCAATGATTGACATGTGCTTATTTTTGGATCACAATCTAAATCTTACATTTTTGTGCAGGCGGAGGCAACAAATAAATAAAGATAATTGAGAGTCAAAGAAGCGAGGTCCAAGGTCTGAAATGTTCTGTGTGTACTTTCTCTGCATTAGTTTCTAATTTACTGGCCACCATTCTGTCGTTTCTTCCTCTCGAGCTCTGCTATGGTATCTATGGCATCAAACAACTCACAATATTTGTGAATAATCATTTATTCACCTTCCAGCCCACATGACTGTTACACTATAATGGACTTGTTTTCCTTTTTAATTTTACACTGATTTAATTTTCCATTTAGGAGGTCAATTAAGAATACTGGTTGCAAGTTAAAGGAATTAAATGAAGTATCTTACTGGATGAACATCTAAAGAGACTTTAGTCTTTGGTTTTCTAAAGACATCTAAGCGAGCAAATTGATGCTCGGCATCGTGTATATCTAAAGACATCTGCAGATCCTTTAAAAATATTATCTTGAATATCTTGTATATTTGATTCCTCACAGGCCTTCTGCAGTCCTCATGTATTCTTTTCGGTATATTTTCCTCACAGGCCTTCTGCCAATTGTATATAGAAGTGATTTTATTACTGTTTTCCTCACAATATATTGCTCTCTACCTCTTTTTATCGTCCGTTTACTTATTCATTTGGTTTTTTTAGGATATTTCTATTTCCCTGCTCAAAATAGTTCTCAGCAAGATTGAACTCATCAAGTGCTCCAAATCAGGTTCTCCTAATTTTGAGTCTCATGAGGTTGAATGCTACAACTTGTAGTTAGTAATTGCAGAATATATGCACCTCAGGGGTTCAGCGAAGGTATACCAATTTGTTCATGTTTATGGCTCTCAATTGCTTTTGTGTTTTTCTCCATGTCCTAACCTTCTTCTGTATATTCTGTATATCCCTCAAGAAAATGCACTTTCATGACGGTGATGAGCTTGAGTCTGAGGTTGAGCTTGAATATCCCAAGTCTTCTTTTTAGAACATCATTCACTATTACATAATTTGTTCCATAAGTAATTAGTTTAGTTTCATTTTCCCTCTAATTGCTGAGATATATTCAGTTGGAGAATAATTTTAAAACCCAAAACTCTGCCAACTAGAGCTTTGGATATGATTTACTCTGTCAATTAGAGCTTTGGATATGATTTTGCTTTCTCCTTCATGGACAATTTACAAATTGTAGGTGTCGTATTATTGTGCTAGTGGATGATTTTAATATAGAAGTGTTCATTTGTGGTTAGTTCATTGGAACTTCTTTGTGTAATCTTTAAGCTGGCTCTCGATTTAGCTTGCACTTCCATCTTGTAGGGAACAGGTTGCTAACCGTATAGATTGGAGACTTCATTATGCAACTAATCTTTGTGGTATCAAGAATTCTGCTCTCATCTCACAGGTATATATTAGCATACACCTGTATATATTAGCATATATAATAGATAAGTTTGGTACAAAATGCTTTATTGTTTCACTTGTTTTATCTTATTGTGTACAAAAAAATGCTCACCATGATTGTATTTCACGGCATGCTGTGAGCATCATCAAAATTTTGTATGTGTTATATGCTTATTTATCAATGGTCTTATAATCTAGTATGTCTTGCATACGTACCCAGTTTGTTGTTTCAGTGAAATGACATTAGCAGTGTCTTTCTATAAAAGGACTTAGAATTCATGACCAAATTGTAGTTGTAATATTTGTCTCGGAGAAATTTCTAGAACTTCGGAGACCTCAAGTGAGGTAGTGGGCCTCTCAGTGACCATATTGGGGAGATTTATAAGTTTTATTTAATCGTCAATTTGTATTTATTACGATTTAGCTATTTGGTTGGTGAAACATATAACATCAAGCTATGTCTGCTGAAGGAGATGTTTTGTAGGAAATTATTCTGTGTTTGTTAGCTTTTAAGGCATTTGTTGTATTCTTGTGTTTTGTAGGAAATTATTCTGTGTTTTGTATTGTAAACTAACATATTCTCTGTGTTTTGTAGGAAATTATTCAAGTGGGAGTAGAAGAAAACCACTGAAAAGGATGAACCTCTTAAGTTGTTTTAATTGCAAACTAACATATTCTCTATGTTTTGTAGGAAATTATTCAAGTGGGAGTAGAAGATAACCTAGATGATGGTCAAGATTAGCTTACATTAATTCATAGTTGTAGACAATTTTGCAAGTGATATAAACAATGAAAATGAAAGTGATGTAAATACTATGAAAGTATGGTACAAATTTGTGTAGTTTTGGCTGTGAAAGCTCTTCGGACATAATATTTGTGTATATTATTTTGAGACCTTATAGAAATTTATTGATATTAAACTTTCAAATGTAGTTCACTATCTTGGTGCAACAAATTTCGCATTAGAAGATACATATTTTAACATTTTCCCTAGCTCAAAAAAGCTGTAGTATAATCTCATTGTTGGTGAACATCAAAGGGAAATACCTATATATTTTTATGCCTAGGGATCTTTCAGAGTTGTGCAAATAACAGCACCAACAGTTTGAACCGTTGGTGCAAATAGAAGCACCAACGGTTTCAACCGTTGGTGCAAATAGCAGCACCAACGGTTTGAACCGTTGGTGCTGTTATTTGCACCAACGGTTCAAACCGTTGGTACTGTTATTTGCACCAACGGTTGTAACCGTTGGTGCTTGGTTTTTTTCTTTTTTAAAATTTTAGTTAAAAAACAATCAGCACCAACAGTTATAACCGTTGGTGCTGATAAAATAACCGTTGGGGCTGACTTTGCCCCAACGCAATCTGCCCCAACGGGCTTTTTTTTTTGCCCCAACGGTTTCAACCGTTGGGGACACTATCTGCCCCAACGGTTTGAACCGTTGGGGCTGGCAGACTTTGTAGCAGTGCATAAATGAAGTAAGCAATAAAATTTACAAGTTTGCTTAAAATTAACAACAAATTAGTGCTTTAACAAAGAAAACTCAATGCCATATCCCAAATACAGATTAAAGACGCACAAATTAATTTAGGCTAAAATATGAAAACACTTACGCAACGATGACGACATCATCGCCAAAGCTCGAATTCCTCAAACGCGCAGCACCATCGCCGGCAGCGCACACGGATGCCTGCACAAAACCAACATTTCAAAAAAAAAAAAATCGCAAAATCAATCTCCCAATTTCGAACTACTCAAGAAAAGTAAACCCTAGGGCACGATCCGATGTAACCTACCGCTAGCGTCGACGAATCATTCGAAGGAGGAGGAAGGAGATGATGAAGGAGCACTCTCTGCCTATAATTGATCGCCTTGTCCGTTACGAAACCTTGATCTCGATCTCGATCTAAATCGCTCTTCACCCGAGAAGATATTTGCTCTCGGTAGAAAACGATACCTTCAAGAGAAAAAAGCTCGAGTGACATCCAAAGCCTGCATTTATAGCGGACGAGCTGAGAAGGCGGTTAGATCACATGGATGAAGCTAGATTAGACCTGAATAGTTAATTGATTTAAAGCTGGGTCCCACGTGTCATTGACTGGGCGTTCATTTTAATCCAGTGCGAGAAATTTATTTGATACTTGAGCGGATAGTTTCAAAGTGCTCGGGGTTGTATGTATTTTAGTAATGTGGGGTTGGATGGTCAACAGCTGTGATATCCGACGGTTGAAATCGTAGCGTAACGGCTACGCCCCAGTATTGTGTAGCTGATGGGGGTTGAGACGTGGGAATGCGTGCCGTTAGCTTTTACGGTTGTCTGAAGGAAAATTTTGGCAGCTGTGACGCTGGAGCAGAACAAGATTGTTAATAGGGGTGGGGGGGGTATACGGATATACCTCGGTAAGAAAAATTTATAACCATATCCGCTAAAATCGGATACGGTTACGGATATACCTGCGGATATATGAGCGTATATGCATGCGGATACAAAACGGATATGAGAAAACTAGATAGTATGGAGAAAAACATAATTCATGTGATACAAAAGAGTTCGTTAATATGTTCATTATAATTGAAAAATTAAGATTAGACATCCTAATCATCAAAATTAATCACAAATCCATAACCTAAGAATCGAAATTATCGTAAGAGTATGATTAATATATATTAGGATATTTCGGATACGGATACAGATATTTCACTACAAAACCATATCCGTAACCATATCGTATCGGTTATAGATTTGAGTAACTATATCCGTATCCTAACGGATACGGTTACAGATATTTCCTCAGATACGTATATGGTTTAGCGCCCCTAGTTGAGATCCATATTAAGAATATCTGACCAAATTTTATGAAATTTAAAGTGTTTTTGGATAATAGTCCCTTACATCTTTGATATTTGAGATTAGTCTCTCAGCATTATGGAAATTACTATTGGGTCCCTGGTTCTTTTATCTCGCTGTTGTTACTCTTCCACTGACTAATTTAAAATATTTTATCAAAACCAAGCCCTTCATTCGAATAAGTCAGTGGGTCTCATGTTCACAATATTTCATGTTTCAATGGTCTTCGAATATTTCAATAATTGTTCAAGATGGCCGTTCTATTGTATTAAAAATCATTAACAATATCCTTAAAATTCTGTAAAATTATGAAAAATTCAACTTTAATCTAAATGCCAAAATTTCATGAGCCCACTCCTGTATCCATAGCAACATTGCTTTTCTTAACCCACAAAAACTGCAACGAAATACATAAAAATTAACAAAGTAAATTGCCCTTAAAAATCTATTTTAAAAAAACAAACATGGAGCTACATTTTTCTTCAACACTGTATATCACAGACGGAGGGTAAGATCAATCTCATTTTCATCAAGCTCTGCGCGATTTCTTAATCTCCAATACTTCTCATTTCTTGGATCGCTTTCACCCCCGTTTCCAAAACTAGGACCAGTAATATAATTCCTTGAAGAGGGCCCCACATTAACTTCACTAGCTCCTTGACTAATAATATTATTAAATTGATAAGGTTGAGGATGATGGTAATAGTTTTGACAGTAACTAACACCGAGGCTCAAATTGGATGGAGGACAATAGGAAACTTGCCCTTGATTTTTGAGAGAAATGAAACTATTTGGATCTTGATGCAATTTGTTAACAAGGTCTCGCTCTCTCCTATGCCCATTTTGATGACCACCTAGAGCTTGCGAACTCATGAAAGCCTTGTCACAATACTTGCATTTATAAAGCTTTTGCTTTCCATCTACATTTTTTGGGAAAACCATCTCATTACAAGAACAAATTATAAAACAAAAATAAAATTGTATTTACCTCTAAAACTAGCAGAAGGAAATTTTCGATTGTAGATGAAACTGGACGTGAGTACTCCTTTATACTAGTAAAAAGATGGAAATATAGCAAATATTACAAGGATATGGTAATTGAAGAAATGTATCTTTAAAAGCTATGCGTATCTTTATGCTTGCTTAAGTTTTGTTTCCATAAACACAAAGTGCTTCCCCCTTGGCCTTGTCAATAATTAACGAGATATATTATTAATTAATCCCATCTAAAATAAGAAATCAGGTTGTCATCGATCGATTCACAAATGTCATAGATAGCATTAACATATGAAGGAGCATCTGTAGTATATCATAAATTTAATGATATAATTTCCATTGGGTTGCATTTCTTTTTCTGGCCACAAGTTTTTAAGTGTTGAAACCAAGCAGTTCCTTTAATCTAAACCAAAATGATATATATGACATTCTTGTTTATTTGCTTAAAATCAACGACAACCATTCAACCAAGCACATTATGTGAACTAAACATATATAACAGATTTCTTACTGAATTATGTAGGCAATAAAAATTGTCTTTAATCCCTATCAGAGAAGTTCAGAATAAGACTGCTAAAACCTCACTCGAAAGAGCAAAAAAGAGGAAAACGCTAATATCTCTCAAACCGTAAGGAATTTGGCAAAACGGAGGCGGCAAACCCCATTTGGAGGTTTGGTTGGCCCTGTCCCGTCGAGATAGACGATTTTCATATATAATTCGTCCAATTCCGAGTTACAGTTTGAAAGTTACGACCTGTTCTTCGTAGCATGTTCTGGAGCTCGCCTGAAGAGCAACCCCGCCTGCAAATGAGTTTAGCTCGCCTGAATGCTTCAAGCTTTAAGCTCGATTGAATGAGGCTGACTCGGCTGTACAGCCTCACCTACCAAGCTCGCCTGCATATTTGAAGCACGTCTGCACAAGGCAAGCTCACCCGACAGTTGGGAGCTCGCCTGCATGACCCAAGCACGTCTGCATGTTTGAAGCTTGCCTACATAAGAAAAGCTCGCCCGATAGCTGGGAGCTCGCCTGACGATCCCCTTGGGCTCTCCTAATGCTTGAAGCTTGCCTGCATGATACATGCTCGCCTGAAAGCAAGCTCGCCTGACAGCTTGAAGCTCGCTTGCATGATCAAGCCTCGTCTGCACAAGCACACCTGCATAGCCTCGCCTGAAGGCCAAGCTCGCATGCACAGCCTTGCCAACTCGCCTAGCCTGTCAGTTGCCCGCTTGAAGCATGGGAGCAGTCAAATCCCTTGAATTAAGGGATTGGTTATCTTCATGACCGTACCCAGCACGGGAATAGTCATTTCCCATGATTTAAGAGATTTGGTCATGATTCTCCTCATGACCATACTCAGTATGGGAATGGTCATTTCTCATGATTTAAGGAAGTGATTACACTCTCCTTCTTCTCTATAAAAGGCCATGAGCAGCCATAGAGAAAGGGTCTTAGGACCCGACCTCTTTGAGGACGAATTACAGAGAACTCAAGACCATCTTGGACTCGAGATCAACCTTGTTCCAGGCACGCCGTCGGCAGAGTCTTGGTCGTTGGAGATCGGACTTTTTGTCATTCAAGAAGATCGAATTCTTGGCATCTTCGGCCTACAAGCACAAGCACTTGTTTGGTCTCGGTTAATCGAACTCATCCAATCAAGCTTCTACTGTGTACTGAAGCTTCAAGCACTTGTTTGGCCTCTGTTGATCGAACTCACCTAATCAAGCTTCTACTACGTACTAAAGCTTGACCGCAATTACTATCGGATCATCCAAAGGAAGCAAATTTGGCACAAGCATCGAGGGAGATGTCTTATCACTGCCATTGAACCCACGTTAAACAAGAAGGGTCATTCCCTTCTCCTCTGCTTGTAACTTTGATTCATTAGTTTGTAACAACCTATTCTTATCAATACAAACAAAGTCTCCACTCTCAGGAAATCAAATTTTACACCTACAGAAGATGATGACCACAGTGGGAGAAACCGTTTCTTCAACTGAAATGGTGGTAGCACAGTTCGACGAAATTGCGGTGGGGATAACTATTGAGTTCCTCGTGATCGAGTTTGAGGAGTACTTATCTTCATCCTTTTCTGACGGTAATGCGTCTTAGAAGTGTTACAGAGTTGCGCGTGTGGCCCAGCCCCAAGTGGACGAGGCAATCACGCCGGAGAACTCCGCCCGAGCAAGCATATGGGAGATAGAACCCTGTGTGCTTGCTCGGGCGGAGTTCTCTGGCGTGGTTGCCTTGACCACTTGGGGCTGGGCCACACACGCAACTCTGTAGCACTTCCGAGACACATTGGTGCTAGAAGAGGATGAAGATAAGTACTCCTTAATCGATCATAAGGGACTCAACAGTTGTCCCCACCATAATTTTGTCGAATTGCGCCACCACCATTTTAGTTGAAAAAATGGTTTCTCCCACTGTGGTCATCAACTTCTGTAGGTGTAAAATTTAATTTTCCGAGAGTGGAGACTTTGTTTGTATTGATAAGAATAGGTTATTACAAACTAATGAATCAAAGTTACAAACAGAGGAGAAGGGAATGACCCTTCTTGTTTAACGTGGGTTCAGTGGCAGTGATAGGACATCTTCCTCGATGCTTGTGCCAAATTTGCTTCCTTTGGATGATACGATAGTAATTACTGGCAAGCTTTAGTACGCAGTAGAAGCTTGATTAGGTGAGTTCAATCAACAGAGTCCAAACAAGTGCTTGAAGCTTCAGTACACAGTAGAAGCTTGATTGGATGAGTTCGATCAACCGAGGCCAAACAAGTGCTTGTGCTTGTAGGCCGAAGATGCCAAGAATTCGGTCTTCTTGAATGACAAGAAGTCCAATCTCCAAAGACCAAGACTTAGCCGACGGCGTGCCTGGAACAAGAATCTCGAGTTCAAGATGGTCTTGAGTTCTCTGTAATTCGTCCTCAAAGAGGTCGGGTCCTAAGACCCTTTCTCTATGGCTGCTTATGGCCTTTTATATAGAAGAAGGAGAGTGTAATCACTCCCTTAAATCATGGGAAGTGACCATTCCCATACTGAGTATGGCCATGAGGAGAATCATGACCAAATCTCTTAAATCATGGGAAATGACTATTCCCGTGCTGGGTACGGTCATGAAGATAACCAATCCCTTAATTCAAGGGATTTGACTGTTCTCATGCTTCAAGCGGGCAGCTGACAGGCTAGGCAAGCTGGCAAGGTTGTGCATGCGAGCTTGGCCTTCAGGCGAGGCTATGCAGGCGAGCTTATGCAGGCGAGGCTTGATCATGCAAGCGAGCTTCAAGCTGTCAGGCGAGCTTGCCTTCAGGCGAGCCAGGATCATGCAGGCGAGCTTCAAGCTGTCAGGCGAGCTTGCCTTCAGGTGAGCCTGGATCATGCAAGCGAGCTTCAAGCATTAGGAGAGCCCAAGGGGATCGTCAGGCGAGCTCCCAGCTGTCGGGCGAGCTTTCCTTATGCAGGAGAGCTTCAAACATGTAGGCAAGCTTGGGTCATGCAGGCAAGCTTGGGTCATGAAGGCGAGCTCCCAACTGTCGGGCGAGCTTGTCTTGTGCAGGCGAGCTTCAAATATGTAGACGAGCTTGGTAGGAGAGGCTGTGCAGGTGAGTTAGCCTCATTCAGCAAGCTTACAGCTTGAATCATTCAGGTGAGCTAAACTCCTTTGCAGGCAAGGTTGCTCTTCAGGGGAGCTCCAGACAATGCTACGAAGAACATGTCGTAACTTTCAAACTGTAACTTGGAATTAGACGAATTATATATAAAAATCGCCTATCTCGATGAGACGGGGCCAACCAAACCTCCAAAGAGGATTTTCCGCATCCGTTTCGCCAAATTCCTTATGGTTTGAGAGATGTTAGCGTTTTCCCCTTTTTTGCTCTTTCGGGTGAGGTTTTAGCAGTCTTGTTCTGAACTTCTCTGATAAGGATTAAAGGCAATTTTTATTGCCTACAAATTAATCTCCAAGATCTAATATAATACTCTTGTAAATGTTATTGATTTTCCTTAATTAAAAAAGAACTCGGTGATTCGATTATACACTTGATTAAATCATACTTCCTTTAAAAGCACAAGTTCAGGAAAATCTTTCGGTAGATAAAAATAACATTATAATTCAAATACTAATCCATTAAGTAAGAGTAAGTTGATAAATTGATGAATTCTTATTGGATATACATTAATTCAAATACTAATCCATTAAGTAAGAGTAAGTTGATAAATTGATGAATTCTTATTGGATATACATAGTATGAAGATATTAAGTAAGAGTAAGTTGATAAATTGATGAATTCTTATTGGATATACATAGTATGAAGATAAAGATATAGTTTAAAATGAAGTATAAACATGAATGAAATTATTAAATGCAAACTTTACAAATGTATACAAGATGAAGGGTGTATATGCAAAAACTAAATAAATCAACTAGACAATTCAAATAATGTATGCCCCACATGTCGAACCCAGGAACAACGCATACGTACAAATGTACATATTATGGATGAGATAATTGCAAAATCCATCAAACAAATTAAAGAGACAAGAGTCGTTCTCAAAATTATAAAAAGGAAAATTAAAACAAATGGCTGCAATTTGAGGACACAACATGTCAAGTTCTCATCGACTAAACTTCAAGTAGTTCACGGTACTACATATTAATTTTAAAGTTTAATTATATCATTATTATTTAAATAGAACTCTATTTATAATTATTATTCTCTCACATGCAATATCACATGCTAATATATATAAGCCAAGAAATTATGATAATTTTCATAGCACTTTCATCTCCTTCAATAGGTATGTGTCTTTGTTGTTTTCTTCTTATTAGATTAGATTAGATTATTTTTAAGCAATTAATTATATTATGTAATTAATATTTTTTATATTAAGAAATAACAATAATTTTCACAATACTTTCATCTATTTTTTCTTATTAGATTAGAATATATTATTTTAAAGCAATTAATTATATTGTATGTTTGATTTTTTTATATCAGAAATTATAATAATTTTCATAACACTTTCATCTCCTTCAACATATATGTGCCTTTGTTATTTTCTTCTTATTAGATTAGATTATTAAATTAAATTGTTTAAAATTTATGAATAATAAAATTTCAATAATTTTTTACATCACTTTCATCTATTTTCTTCTTATTAGATTAGATCAAATTATTTTTAAAAATTAATTATATTATATATTTGATATTTTTTTAGATCATAAAGTTTAATTATACTATTACTATTTAAATAGATACTATTTGTATAAAAGTCAAAGAGAATCTCACGCGTATTTTAGATCTCAATGCCAATTGTAATACTTACATATTGTTGTTGGTTAAAATAACTTCCATGCTTGGGCTTAACTTATATGATCATACTTTAACCAGATTAGATAATTTATTTTTTTATATCCAAACTCTTCCACAAAGCCAAAAGAGAGTAGTAATGCTATAGCTATATATATCTAAAGGACCACATATATCTTGAAAATGAACAAAGAAAACCATACAGACAAAAACCATATTAATTACCTGACACACTCACTATTTTCAAAACCACCCTTCTCCATCCCCATCTATAATATAACCACATACTCAAATTAAGTCGCTAGAGTTTCACCCTCACCAACTACATCATTGATTAATCCTCCTTTTTTCTTTGTAATTAAATTGTATAACATTCATTACGATGAGGACTCACCTGGGTCCTATGCCTATCTTGAATGTCCAATAAAAAATATTAATGTAGTATGCATTGTAGTTAGTTAATAATGAGATCCTATCATTATAAATAAATTAAGTAAAAATTAATAATTCTTAAGAATGTACTACGTTCTCTTAGATTTCACTGTAAACTTGTTAGTTGTTTATTCCTGACCTTAAGAGATTCTTAAAATTAATCTTAAGGGTCACTTGTATTAAAAAAATTCATGTTAGAGGGCCCACACAGTCTGTTTTATAGTTTAAGATTGTCAACACATTTTGTCTCTGATGCATATCAATTATGAGTAATAATATATTTTGATTGATCCAAGTATATCCTAATATATTTCTAGACTCTTATTTTGTCTTTTGCTCTTTATTATATACCAACATGATGTCACAATTGATGTAGACGATGAAGACACTATGGTAGAATTGTTCAGGAAAAGGTAACGGTGGAGAATAATTAATCTTGACTAAATTAAATATGATAAAAGAAGGAATAAAAGATAATATATTTTTAAATATTTTATAGTAAAACTTAATTTTTTGAGTAAAATTTGGAAGCTTCAGAATGGATTTTCATGCAAAATTTTTAATATGTTTATGTGAATGATTTTGTCATATAAAGTTATACTAGAGTCACCAGTAATATTTAGTATTTATTTTTTTATTTTAAGTCTATCAATAATTAAGATGTTTTACAGTCTTGTGAAAAGTATGTACTCTGTGCTGAGCTCATACAAACCATCTCAATATTAAGTATTTGGTTATATTTTATTAACACATCAACAATATATTATTGTGTTTTTTTAACTTAACACTATATTTAATGACTAAGATAAACAAATTGGAGATCGATGATTTGACCTAATAAACAAATATGTTACATGAAGTTTGATATATACAAATTTAAAAAATAATGTTGTGTGTGCAAGTATATAAAAGTATATTGATCCCAGTTTTACACACAAATCTATTTCATAAATTTTTAAAAAATATTTAAATAAAATTTATAGAAAATTTAATAATTCATGTTTAAGGATTAACTCAAGATGAATCTGACTTATTTTATAGTAAGAAAATAAATAAAAAATAAATAATTTTAATATTTAACTATGTGCATTGAATGTGCATAATAACTGGTAAAAAAAAAGACACAAATGAAGTTTTGGAAAGTATGGTAAAAGAAAACTTGCCCTTTCATAGTTTTATTGAGCTGTTCGTTGATTGTGATTATATTGAGAATTTCATGTAGCATGCTTTATTCACTTGCTGATGCACGTTTTTGTTCGTAAACATGATATTCTCATCTAGAACCAAATCCATAACAAGTGTGAAGTTTGACCTCGTGGGCTTTGATATGACTTCACTATAGAATTTAAAATTAGAGTGTCAATTTTCTCAACTGTAATTAATATATACATATACAAAATAACTAATTCGGTTGGGTCATAATGATAAACATGTCATATACTCAAACTAACCTAATTAATAATCGAGTTGAAAGAAGAGACTAGGTTCTTGTTCATACCTACAAACCCCAAAATATTGAGTCTACTTTGGACCCATTTGTTGGATAAGAGAAAATTATTAGGTGCTTGCATCATACATGCGAATATGGGAGAGAATGAGTCAATGACATTTTTTCTTTTTCTTTTTTGGACATTGTGTTATTTCTTTGGGTGGTAAAATTTCATAAACTCCCTCCACCTAACACGCGCGTGTACACACACGGGCGAGTTTGGTCATTTTAAAATAACCCCCTAAAACTTAATAAATATCAAGTATTCCACCTAACGTTTGGGGCTTGTTATAAAACCAACCAAAACATTTGGATTTAAAAAAAAAAAACTAACAGCAACTTGTGAGTAGGTGGTTCTGCATTATGGATGAGTGGGGTGACATTTTTTTTCCTCTCTCTCTTTGGGTTTTTGGTTGTTGAAGTTTTTTTTTTTTTTTAATCCAGCCAGGTAAGATTCAGATTGTCACTCCTGCTCACACAAGCAACATTCGTTCTCCCTTGAAATTCTTTTGTTCGAGAAGGGGGGAATATGTACAAATCTCTCTTTCTTTTAGTTGTTGACAACAAAAAAATCACACAACAGACAAGAATGTCAAATTTCAAAGTCACATCTTTCATATTCAAACTATTGTAAGCTGTACAAACTTTCAACATGTGGGGGCATCGAACAAAGACAAAGAGGCCAGCAGAAAAAGGAAGCAGAGGGCATGAGTTCACGCACAAATGAGAGATTTTCAATGCTGTCCACTCTACTAGAATACCGCAGACTGCCCTTCTTCCTTTGGAAAGGGTCAACATCTCAACTGTACACGAGAATCAAAAGTCTTTTAACTTCACAATTACCCATCAAAGAGACTATATAATATAAAGCAAGGTGGCAAAATTATCACTTCCCTCTTTCTTCTTGTTGTTTGTCTTCTAGAACTAGCTTTGGTTACGCAGAACTCATGCCTCCATGAGGAAGACTCCACAGTGATATTGAGCTAAGTGCATTAGTTGCTAAAGAAGACATTACATCTTAGCCTAGGAAGGACAAAAGAAGAATATACAACATAATTCACAATCTTAATATGTAGGTAAATTGCCAATAACCCCCTCATCCATGAACTCATTTTACAATTGTTTTAAGTGTTACTTAAACAGTTAAAAGGCAATAAATACAACTCCACGTATAGTAAAGGGGGGTTAATTAATTAGCAATTTAGTCAAATATGTACTTAGATACAACAAGAGTGATAATTTCTTTACTGCATTTACTGCAGATCTTTGGTATTTACTAATAAATGAACAAACATGCTCAAATGAAATGTTTATCAGCCACAGTACAGAGATCTTGATAAACCTTAACAAATTTCTCAATAAAATCACAGTGAAGTTGCTTTCTCAATCCATGGCAAAAATTCCTATTACAACTGATCAGTAGGATATAACAACAAAAAACAGGCTTAATCAGTACATATAAGCTTACACTCGGCATCTGGTAATAAATAGCATAAAATTAGGCTCAAAGTCGATCACCCTTCAATCTCATGTACATCCACATATCCCCTATTGAGAACCAACACAAAAAGATATGATCAGCTGCTGACCAAATCCTCTTATCTAAGCTAACGTGAACCTCAAGTTTCCTTTGTGAAGAAGATTGTTTTTTTTCAGAATGGAGTCCCAATCTCACTTCTATCAGTAGGACTATACAATGCCGATCTATTTCTAGGCCTGTTCTCCTCCAACTGCTTCACAATCTCTCTCATGTCCGGTCTCACCTCAGGCGTCGGAGCACAACACCCCATTGCCAATTTCAAAGCTTGAACCAAACCATCTTCAGTCGGACTCCTAATCCCTCTCAACAACTCATCATCAAACACCTCCATTGTAGTCTCCTCCAAGACCGCAACTTTCACCAATGCAGGCAAATCCGAACCTTCATTCCCCTTCCCAGGCTTTTTCCCCATTAGAATCTCTAACAAAAGTATCCCAAATGAATAGACATCGGTTCTTGAGTTGCATTTCTTCATCTTTTGGAGCTCAGGCGCTTTGTAGCCGTCTAATTTTGAGATGGTGATCATTTCATCAGCGACTGAGGGGACCATTATTTTGTCAAGGCCATACTCGGTTACTCTTGACACGAAGAATTCATCGACTAAAACGTTTTTGGATCGGATGTTTCCATGAGTTATAGGGTTTTCTTGGCCAGTGTGGAGGTAGGCTAGGCCTCTTGCTATGCCTAGAGCTATTTTGTGGCGTCTTGGCCAGTTTAGCATTGGCCTCCCTGCTCTTGATTCTACAAAAAAAAAAAGGATTTAAAATGGATGTGAAAAAATCCTCATGTAATTGGTACGGGTATTTGATTATATAACTGATATCAGACTCAAATAAATGAGAAATGTTATTACGTCAAATATCCAGAACTATTTAAACCAAACTATGTGATAGTGATTGAGAATTCTTTAAGTCTAAATCTAGCAATCTATGAAAGTATTGCAAAAATACCGAAAGTGGTTAAATTATTAGGTATATGTTAGACTCTTGAATGAAAAGGTACTAAGTAACTAATCCTTCATTGGCTATGAATGCAAAAACCTTTTAATGTCATGAAGAACTAGTTAAACCTCTCGTATTCATCCAACTACGCATTTAGCAAAACTACATAATCAACATATGTGATGCTGATTGTGGATTTCAAGTCTAAAAATAGCAACTTGCGAAACTCTTGCAAAAACACCAAGTGGTTAAATTAATAGGTATTGATTAACCTCTTGCATACGTAGCTAGGTCAAAGTAATTAAGATCTCAATGGACATGTATGCAAAACTTACAACATTAGTTATATGGGTCAAAAAGTAGTTAACCTAAGGTATTGATACAACAAAGCATATAGCCGTGCAAATCATCCTTACGAGGTTCCTCTTTTATGGAATATAAAATCTAAAACTAGCAATTTGTGAAATCTTGGATATGTAGTAATAATTAACTAAAACTGCTGCATACCATGGAGAAGATCATGAAGGCTTCTATTGTGAAGGTAATCATAGATCAAAAGCTTCTCCCCTCTCTTCCCCTGATAAAAAGCTCTCAAAGGAACAACATTCTCATGACGAGCTCTACCAAGATATCGAACCACAGGCAAACAAGAAGCTAAATCCATGCTACTCCCTTCTCTCAACAACCTCAAAGCAATAGTACCTCCATCATTCAGCTTAGCCTTGTACACAGTCCCATAACTAGTCTTCTCCAATACTTGGCCAGTTGCATTGAGCACATCCTCAAGTGTCAAATGCTCTCCCCCCTGAAAAACCATTAGCTTTCCTTCGCCTCCATCGCCCTCTTCAATCTCCATCTCATCCTCTTCAATTCTTTTACTCACATTCTTCCTCTTTCTCCCTTGATACCATCCGATCAAAACCGAAGCCAAAACTACGACACCGACCATTAAACCGATAATAATACCTGCAATCGCACCAGAACTTAGCCTTGAATTTGATCCACATTGCTTCAATGGGGATCCACATAGACTAGGGTTATTCCCTTGTAAAGACTCTGCTCCAAATTTACTCAACGGCGGAACAACCCCACTGAAGTTATTGTAAGAAAGATTCAGCCTTTGTAAATTGTTCAGCTTCAGTATCGAATCCGGTATCGATCCGGATAACCGATTTGAGCTGAGATCAAGCTCCTGCAATCCACTGAACCTGGTAACAAACAGAGGGAACTCTCCTTCAAGCTGGTTATCAGCCAAATCCAGAGCTTTAAGATTCGTGCAGCTCGGATTGGGCACTGCAGGCTCCGGAACCGAACCAGAGAGCTTATTTCCATGAAAGCTGAGGGTTTGAAGCTTTCCGCACAGGTTCCAGATCGAAACTGGGATCGACCCATCAAAGAAATTGCCCCCCAAATCAAGCTCAGCGAGCTCAGGACAGTTTCCAAGCTCCAAAGGAATAACTCCAGTCAAGTTATTGACGCCCAGAAGCAAGGACTGCAACGAGGAGAGCTCCCCAATCTCTTTGGGGATTGAACCAGAGAGAGCTGAAGCAGGGAGATGGATCGAGACAAGTTGGAGAGATGGGTCTTTGTAAAGAGAAAGGTTAGAGAGTAGAGACGGGCTTTGGGCGCAGGAGAGGAGAGAGCCATTGGAGAAAGCCCATTGAAGGCCTCTCCATTTGCAGAGAGGGAGAGAGGAGTTCCATGAGGAGAGCTCGAGGTTAGTTGATGTGGAGAGAGCTGGCTTTATCTTTCCTAAGAGAGTGGCCACATCAGAGGAGATCACAGTAGAGATTGAGCAGAGAAAGAGGAAGATAATAATGGAAGAAGAACAAGAAGAAGCCATTGATGAGAGAGAGAGAGAGAGAGAGAGAGGAGAGAGAGCGCAGAGCAGAGGAGAGGTTTTTGAGAGGGCTCTGCTTTATTGGGAGCAGGGTTTTTGAGACCAAAAGGGAAAAAAATTATACTTTTGTGGCAGTACACCCAATTTTTCACCGATTGGGATTGTAGGACCCAGTGGGTTGGTGGGTGTGGAGGTTGTTGTAGGTTTTTTCAAAAGATAGGCGAGGGAGGTGCAGACCGCTGACTGCTTGGGTTCGGGTGACTGGGGGTGGGTGTCGCGCTGCTCTTTGTAGATGCCTTTTAAATTTTTTTATTAATATTTAGTACTCCCATATGATTTTTCATTTTTATTTCATGGGCTCGTTGTTGATCTTCGAAATTCTAGATGAGAGTGGGCTGGTTGGTTGGCTAAAAAAACAAGGAAATCAAAGAAAATAAAACATATTTTTTATAATATGTTTTTTTCTTGTATTTGGTTCACTTTTTAAAAGTAAGAAAAAAGATAAGATAAGATGAGTTATCACTATATTATTGGATTATGTGACTCATTTTTAAAGATGAGATGGATGATGTAGCACATTTCTTGTGTTTAGTTCATTCTTAAAAGTAAGAAAGGAGATGAGTTGTCACAATATTATTGGATGATGTGGGTGATTTTTAAGGATGGAAATGGTTGAAAATCAACTTTTAATGGTTTCCGTGGTCCTATTTCATTTTCTTTGATTTTAGGAAACCAATCAAACAGTTATCTCAAAATATATTCACATGTCAAGAGGCTCTAACTGAGTTGATATGCTGCGTACGGATAATACTTTGAGTTCTTAGATTCGACTCTCCTGAGAAGCACTCACATAAATTTAATTTTCAGAAATACCTGAGCTAATGTGTTAAAGGGGTGCCTCTTAGCCACGCTTGAGGATTTGATACCCATGGTTTGAAGGATCATGAAGAAGTTCCCTTGCTAAACCCTAAGAAAAAGTAATTTTTTTAGATTCTTTTAGAGTTACTTCGAAATGGATCATTTTTGTAAAAGTTTTGTGTCACGTCTTGTGAAAATATCCAAAAGAAACAAGGTTAAGTGCAAATAGACCCCTTGCAGTATTGCCCAATTACTGATAGACCCAGTGTAGTTCTAATTGTGCATAAATCTTTTTGCAACTAGGTGATATTACAAGTGATCTATCAGTAACTCCCCCAAAGATATTCTACTTCATGGGTCTGTTTACAGGCTTGTTAAAAAGTTTACACTATCAATCTTACTAGTGTGGACACCGTGCATAGCACGATATATTTTTTCCCCGCCACAGCAATCCCAGTTTTTAACTACTACAGTCATTTTTTATTTTTTGAATTGCTATATTATCTCGCATCTGTCGTAGTTTTCCCGCTACAGTACTGTTTTTTAAAAAACTACAGTGCCTAGTTTCGTGTTGTTTGCTACAGTAATACTACTACAGTAAATAAACTGTAACATTTACTGTAACATGAATAGTAAATTTTGGGTTCTCCCATTAGTATAGATAAATATATTAGGACTGATTACAAGCGAACAGATGGTTTTTTGCAACAGAGGGATAATATTTCATTTGCCCTCTACTATATCCACTGAATAGCCTTCCACACGTGGTCCGTTCTAATAGGAAGTGGACTTTGAGGCTGATGCAAAAAAGCATCGAAGGTTATTTGAAATTATTAAAGATTTCAACTATAAAATATAGAAATTACGAAATTCTTTTGAAATATTGAAACAGGAAAGATTATGAGGAGGCACATGAGAAGCACATTTTATCAGATATATTGTATGGGCCATCACTCATCAGTAATATATTAGCGGGTATTTAATTACTAATTAACTTGAGAAAAGCATTTCTTTTGTTGGAGTTCTTTATTAAACGCACTTATTATAGAACCCCAAAAGAATACACGTTCTGCTTCTGACCCCACTCCACAAAACTTGTGGGAACGAAGGAATGGTTGATGTTGTGGGTGAACTCGAGTAGATTCAGCTTTTGGGAAAAGAAAGAGCGCTGTGTGGTAGCGGTAGACCGAGCAACCACCGCTGGTTGATGTTCGATTGATTGACCGATGCATTCTACTCTTTTCTAGCCTTTCAATCTTCAAATTTTGTTGTTATTTGTTTTAGGAAGGGAAATTAAAAAAAAAAAAGACCGATTTTGCTAAATAATTAGCAAAATCGAATTTTTTTGGCTAACAGGCCAAAAAGAGGTCGATTTTAAAAAATGTTTAGTTCAGAACATACGGAATATTAGTCTCGTATGTTTTTGGTGAACTAATCACCGATTAGTTCACCCAAAAAACATACGGGACTGCTAGTCCTGTATATTTTGGCCACTCATTTCTTGTGCCCAATAGCACATAAGAGCATATATTTTGCACAAGAAATGAGTGACCAAAACATACGGGACTAGTAATCTCGTATGTTCTGAGCTAAGCGTTTTTTAAAATCGATCTCTTTTTGACATGTTTGTCATAAAGAGGTCGATTTTGCTAAATAATTAACAAAATAATCGGTTTTGCTAATTATTTAGCAAAATCGGTCTTTTTTTAAAATTCCGCCGTTCTAGGAATAAACGCCTTTGTGGCTCTAAAATCAGCCGCGTGACATCTGAAATTCGGTTAAATCGACTCTAAATACCAGTGTTACTTTGTTGTAAGCCACTCCCACAGTTGTAACATCAACTTAAATGAAATGGCTGCAAAAATAAAAACTTAAATGACAATTAATAATTAAACTACTCCTATATTGTAGGGGGTTATCCTCGAAACCCAGATTGGTTGAAAAGCAGCAAATTGCAAGAATGTAAATTACGAGAATGTAAATTGTATTAAAGTAAAGAAATTAACTTACAAGTGCGAATTACAACCGAAAGCAAACAAAACACGAGTAACTAAACAACAGCAGAAAGTAAAGGCAGCAAAATAAATGCAAATTTCATAAAAATAGGGTGTAAATTAGACAACGCATGTTCACGACCTTAAGCAACTGCTTTAGGGATGTCAAATGGGTGGTTTTGGTTGGGTCTTGGTTGGGTCATAAATGAGTGGGCACATTTATGACCACTTAACCAATTATGACCCATTTAGCATTTGCTAAATGGGTCGGTTCTCAACCACCCATTTACTAAATGGGTGGTTCATGGGTGACCCAATAACCTATTTAGTTATGATTATGATACTTCTATATATATGTAAGTTTCAGGTATCTACTTGCAAATTTTTAGGGGGTTTTGGCAAACTTTTAGGGGGGGTTTCCTACAAACTTTCAGGGGGTTTTCTGCAAAAAATTTAGGGGTTTTTTTGCAAACTTTCAGGGGGTTTTCTGCAAACTTTCAGAGGGTTTTCTGTAAACTTTTAAGGGTTTTGTGACCCAATAACCTATTTAGTTATGATTATGATACTTCTATATATATGTAAGTTTCAGGGATCTACTTGTAAATTTTTAGGGGGTTTTGGCAAACTTTTAGGGGGGTTTTCCTACAAACTTTCAGGGGGTTTTCTGCAAAAATTTCAGGGGGGTTTTTTGCAAACTTTCAGGGGGTTTTCTGCAAACTTTCATAGGGTTTTCTGTAAACTTTTAGGGGTTTTTTGCAAACTTTCATGGGGTTTTATGCAAACTTTTAGGGGATTTTTTGTAAACTTTTAGGGGGTTTTCTGTAAACTTTCAGGGGTTTTTTTGCAAACTTTTAGGGGGTTTTTGGTAAACTTTTAGGGGTTTTCTGTAAACTTTCAAGGGATTTTCTGCAAACTTTTAGGGGGGGTTTCTGTCAACTTTCAGGGGGTTTTCTGCAAACTTTTAGGGGGTTTTCTACAAACTTTTAGGGTTTTTATGTAAACTTTCAGGCGGATTTCTGCAAACTTTCAAGGGGTTTTCTGTAAACTTTCAGGGGTTTTTCTGTAAACTTTCAGGGGGTTCAAAATCCATGAGCTATGAGCGTAATTGTTCATTTCTTCATATTTGTTGTTGGTTAAAGTCTATTATTTTTTTCATGTTTGTTCTTAATTACAGAGTGTCCCCAAGTAATTCTCCTTGAAATTTTTTTATCACGCCGGATAACAATACACGCTCTCTTTCTCTCCTGTTTCTCGCGCAATAGACACAAGTTTTGCAAATTACACTTGGCCGCACACGCATATATCTCCTGCCGACGAAGAATTGTGAGCGCCTACTTTTTATATTTATATATCCTTGAGGGTGTTTTTTGCAATTTTTAAAAGTTTGAGGGTGTTACTTGCAAATTTGGATTTCATGTGTCATTTGTAGGTTTTGAAATTTCAGGATGGTTTTGTAATTCTAAACTATGGAGGGTGTTTTTCTAAAAATTTAAAACTTTGAGGGTGTTAATCGCAAATTTTAAATTTATAGGGGACTATTGAAATTTTTTAGATTTCATATATCATTTGCAAGTTTAGAAAACTCTAAGATTGTTTGGTAATTTTGAAGTCTTGAGGGTGTTTTTATAATATTTTAAACTTTGAGGGTGTTTTTTGCAAATCTCAAAATTTTAAGGGTTTTAGTCATTTTAAGTGTTTTCTATAATTTTTAACTTTTAAAAATAAGTTTTGTAATTGTTGAACCGTTAAGGGTGTTTTTAAAACAATATCCATCTAAACGGGTAAATGGGTGGGTAATAACCCGCCCATTAATGACCCATTTATCTTTAATAGAAACTATACCCACCCATTTATGACCCATTTAACTAAATGGGTGGGTTTGGATGGTTCATTTGGCGGGTGGGTATGGGTGGGCAATTGGTTTTGGGTCCATTTTGCCATCCCTAAACTGCTTTGATTGAAAAACCAATTATCTAATCAATTGCCTTGATATATATATTATTTATATTGTAGAAAAGTATCGGTGCCTGACTTTGGTTTGAAAATGCGTGGCGCGGTAAGTTGGTAACCGATACGAAAGTTCGGAGCCAAATCCATTCTCTTCTCAAAAGCTAAAAATAATAATCATAAAGAAGATGAGAGTGGATTTTCCCTTTTCCCTTTCTTTTAACTTAAATAATAGTT